CCTTCGTTCACCCTGTTGGGTTCACGCTGGAATTAGAGCCTCAAAAGGAAAAAATATTCCGAAAACAAAAGTTTAGCCTGTTTTTATGCGTCATTGAGTCCCACCCATTTTAACTAAGAAATAAACAGTTACTCACAAATTTGTTGGTCCACTTACAAATTTTATTCAAAGAACGTCAGGGTATATTTTCCTTAAAGAAATAAATAAATTCAAACTAATGTCTTTGCAATTCTTATTTTACACTGTATTCTTCGTTAAATTAGGAGGGTGTGCTCGTGCTGTGCGTACTTAATTCATTATTCGGAATCAATCAACGTTCCGGAAATCGTTGTGGTCTTGTAAAGTCCGAAGTGATTTACTTTAGCTGTCGTGTTTGTGCAACATAAGAGGCAATTATGACGACATATTGAGTCGGGTCGTAGTTGGTGTTTGTTTTATGGGAACTTATACTCGTATCGGCGGCTGACGAGGCCCGAGGCAAGCGAGTGTGGGCTCGAACAATGCCGCCCCTCGCGCCCGCAAACACTTTATTTATTATGACATTTTCACCTAACGAGACGTCTGTTTTTCTCTCCTAATGACGCGTATTCAATATGTGACCCGAAAACACTTTCATTTCGCCATTTCACACCTTTGTGGAAATTAGAAATTCCTACAGAGGTGCCAATTTTTGTCATATTGTGACCTTTTTTTATTATACGGACGAAGGTACAGATGATGTTGTAAGTAATTTATCTTTAATAAATATCGTTTGATTCATTACGTTCCACATAATGTACCTATACCACATTTTACAATAGTATGTGTTGGAAAAAAATAAAGCGCTTAGGTATCTAGAAATTGAATAAAAACATAATGAAAGCATTCGCAAATTGCAGGTTGGCGTGTCAATGGCTATTGTACGTTGTAACTATTTCCATTATTGCCAACGGGCTCAACTCTAAAAATACCAGCTGTAGCCGCGTAGGCACTGACCCGACGGCGGCCGTTTCCCGCTTGATTTCAACTAGGCAAATCTCATTTTGTAACTACTGCCTATGAAATGTTATTATGAAAATTGAATCAGTATCCTATTTACGTTTGAATGATTATTCCATGAACGAAAACGTTCCTGGCGAAATAACAAATCTGTAAACAGAAACGTTGACTTATTATGGTAACTTATGGATAAGAAGCAACTTTTTAATAATTGTGCCATTAAATCTTGAAGTCTTTCCAAAAAATTAATCTTAAAAAGGAATTTTAAAATAAAGTCAATAATAATATGTAGATGCGTTTCCGTTGAAGAAACATTCACCTTTTGAGTATTCTGTTTATACTGCGACTTGTAGGATTCTTCAAATGAGACTAACATTGCAATAGGTAAAAATTAGCACAAAAATCCAAATTTGATAGTGTAGACACCCAAATTACATTTTTAAAAAGAGAATAATAACGAAATTAAAGGTAGTTTATAAAAAAAAATACTCCAACTCTAGAGGCCGCGGTCTGTCCTGCGGCATTTAACCTACAATGACTAAACACAGCCGAAAACTCGTTGCCTCTGCTCTTTGTCAACAAATGCGCCTTAAACTTTTGCATTGCATTGCAGCTAGCTCTGGGTATGTAATCACAAAATCCTTTGAAAAACTAATTTTGAAAATGTAACTAACATAATATTTTCGGAATTATTAATTTTGAAAAATATCCACGTAATTTATTCTCTACCCATGAGTAGGTACTTCTTCCTATTTAACTTTTGAAAATGAAATGGGGAAGGATCTCATTACTTATTTTATAAAAGTTAGAACTCAATTATTATGCTTCTATCAATAAGAAAGAAATAGGTCCCTCAAGTAAAATCTCATATCACTAGAGTGGAATTTCACAAAGTCCATATTAGATAGCACACATCCAAAAACTAATTGTGAGACGACCATGAGAATCCCACTTTAGATATTGTTATGTCCATCGCTGATATTGGAAATTGACCTCTAATGCTGTAATATTGGAAACTTAAAAAGGTCCTTATTGGATATCAAGCCGAGTTATTAGGAGATATGAAGAAGAATGCGAGAATGGAGTTTTTTTACAGGCACACATTGCGAAAAAGTTTTCGTTTATTTAATGCGAGAGTTTGCTAATGCTGCATTCCATAAGTATTTTAAAGGATACAATAAACTTTAACTAAATATGATGATTATTATCGAAAAAAAACTGCTCTTTCAAGACTACTTAAATATTCCTATCAAATTCGTCGAACCCCATAACCGTAAAAATACCTAACTATATAACTTATGTTAAAAAATATTAAAAGAACGATTTATATGCAGCATTATTCCATCAATATTTAGATAAGCTTACACCCTAACAGTTATATATATATATATATATATACCTATATATAAAACACATGATTTTTAATACTAAAGGACATTGTTCTGCGTCCATACATAGTTAGCCTAAGAACCAACAATCATGAAATATTATTTTCTAGACTCGAAATCGCAAGTAAATGACTGTAAAAACAAAGATTATTGACGGACACTTCTGAAAACTTAAATTATTAGGAAAACTAAAATTTTTTTGAGGTTATGTTTAATATTCACTGAAACATAGGTCAACCTATGAACTAAGTATGAAGTAAATTAATATTACAACTAATTCATTTTAATCGGTGCGATTTTAAAGAACAACTATTAGGACTTACTAATAGATGTTCTTTAAAATTTTATTCATGATTCCTACCTAACCAAGTACTTACTTGGTTAGGTAGGAATCATGAATAAAATAAAAACAATAGTTTTGCTTCTTATTATTTATTGACTATTTTTCACATAATTATATCATATTGTATTTATTTGTTTAACACATGTATATTGTGTTAATATGCAGCGTGAATGGTGCTCTTGAATAATTTGTCAGTATGATCCTCTCAGGATATTGTGGCACAGGTTCACTAGCACTTGGTAATAAGGTCTCTCCTCTTTGTTAACTTCGATGGCATATTAGATAGCCGAAATAGTAATTGTTAAATTAAGGAAAAACAATCGCAAATAAACACACACAACAGGTAATCCGAACGAGAATTTTCCGTATATAAAAAGTACTCTTTGACGAGATGCACGAATGCCACAGATTACTACGAATGCAAACTGCCTGCACCACAACCACAGAGTATCAAGTTTATGCCGGCCCTTCACTTGATAACAGTTTGTCCTTGTCATGCTTAATAAGGAATGAAAAGGACAGACTGATGTCATGTTTTTAAATAGCAAATACGAATAGCCAAGTGAAGTGCCGGCATTAGTAAGAAAGTGTTTTTTGTTTGCAGCGCTGTTATAGATTATACACAGAAAATGGTATTTATTGTCTCAGATTATTTATTAACTTTTTAATTTAGCTTACTTAACTGGAAGTGTCCGTCACAATCTAAATACTAATAATTATCGCAAAAAATATTCTAAGAATTATCATAAATGCCAAATTGGTGTTGGTTCTTAGGCCAATTTTAACATTGTCCTTTGATTATTAATTATTAATTAAATCGGTAACTATTTGCCTCGGAATACGTAACACAACGTCTCGTCTTCGGTCTGCTACGCCTACGCTATGTGCAGGCAATTCAATTTCTTATGAAACGTGAAAGGAGATCGCGTCTGGAGACATAATATCTAATCTCTGTGTTTGCAATTGCAATTTGCGGTGATGGGTGGTTGGTTTATCATGTTATTGCCAATACGACGGCTGGGTAAACGTTACCAATCATTATTGGTGCCGTAACTAGAATACTAGCCGTAGCTACCTTTAACATCAAATCAGATATTACGTATTTCTATGTTATTCTAATTGAAAGATTGTACCTACATTACTGGTGTGACAATATTAGCTTATCTTTGTATATTGTATCTTACCTGAAATGAAATCGATGTAAACTGTTGAATAGCACAGTAGAAATGTTTGTTGATAAAACAAACGGGTTGAATTGGTTTATTATAAAGGGCTTCCTGCAAATCTTCTCTCCTAAAATTTCACGTAAATCTCCTGTAAATCTCGATTATTGTGAATTGGGTTGCAAGAGTAAATAAAATGTTATCTATTATATACTCTAGTGGCCCGCCCTCGCTTCGCTTCGGTGTAGAGCTGAAGTGTAGACTACAGTTTATGTTCTCAGGCTTGTATTATACACAATGACATTCATCTATGATTCTGCTTATACCTGCATGCAAAATCTCAGCCCGATCGGTTTAAAATTGACAAAGTTTCATACAAACTTTCATTCCCTATTTTATCCCCTTGGGGGTAGAATTGATCAAAATCCTTTCTTAGCGGATGCCTACGTCATAACATCTACCTGCATGCCAAATTTCAGTCCGATCCGTCCAGTGGTTTGGGCTGTGCGTTGATAGATCTCTATGTCAGTCAGTCACCTTTGAGTTTTATATATATAGATGAGCTCCTTGCTGATCTCATCATTTTTATGGTAAAAGTTTAACTACTTTATAAATATAAAACAGATGTCATATTTCCTGAATTGTACATTACTTTAGACGCTCGATTAGTAGTTATATCATTTTTTTTTAATTATTGTGATATCTAAACTAATATATGTTTTTAGGTTTTCACGCATACCAATCATTAAATAAAACAAGTTTCAACGGTATAAAAGCACTGATTTATTTGTTTATTGATGTTTCGCATCCTTTTCAGGCTGCGTCGTCAGAATTTTCTTGCAATCTAAACTTATGTTGCAATTGGCGAGGTAGATTGTTGGCAGAACTTTCATCTGCTAGTGAAGAAAAGTTCTCAAATGAGACCCGTGTAACATGTATTTGCTATTGGTAGACACAGCGTGCATACGCTGTGTCAAAGTCATCTCAATATCCAGAAAAAGGTCACCGGACGTCCACTGGATGACTAAAGGACACGTTTGGTAACCTTAAAAGAGTCATTTGTCCAGCAGTAGACGTTTGCGACTGAGATTATATGAATTTGTGTTATGGGAGAATACTTGTTCACAGGTAAAGAACTATACAGCCCAGACACAGATGGCCACGGCAACGGCCTGACGGCTGGGCCACCGAAGGTTACCTCTCGAACTAACTCCTTTGAAATAGAAAATCTACTCAAGGTAAGTGACTATTAATTTAAAAATAATGTATGAGAATCACTCACATTTAATAACTACAACACGAACTACTACACGAATAAAGGATTGCAATAATATACCTTATTTCCATTAACCACATAACAAACGCACATATATCTCCCATAGGAGTAGCAATCATACTTTGCGCTAGTTACGTTTCTTTATATAATGATTTGTTCCGGTTCACCTACTCACAATACAGCCCCCATATATGCTCGCCGTTCTCAGGTACTCTTGACCTGGTCCTTCTTTGAAATTCCTTCGATTTGATTGAAAAACGTTTGCCGAGTCTTGCCCTCCCCATATATCTCTACTCACTTTCGATTCATTTAGTTATATATACTATTCACCGGTCTTCTTTGCATGACCTTTGTGAATAGTAGAAAAACTTTTTAGCTAAAAAATTAAACCGCCGAAAAATCTGAAAAGCAGAAAATTATAAACCTTTTTTATATTCAAATTAATATATGGACTTTGATTTAGGTATTTTAGTTGAGATACATAGATTCATATTCATTAGTTTTTCTTATTTCCGATATAGAAAATAAAGACTCTTGCTCAAATATGTTGTCTTAACTACAGGCAACTACGGAACCCTACACTGCGCGTGGCACGACACGCACTTAGCCGGTTTTTAAGTGAACAGTGGTGGGTGGCTTTAAAGGACAAGCTGACGGTTACCAGCTAGTATAATATCATTAGTTACATTTCTTAGTGCAACATTATTATTAAGAGGTTTTTTACAAATTGAACTCTCATAAAAGTCATCGTGATCATGGTAAACTTTATTTCATTAAGTCATTACTGTGTTTAGGGTCACGTATTCTTGTCAAAACAAATTGATCTCCGGCTTAACGATCTTAAGAATAATTTCCAACTACGTGATTTAGATGCAGCTTTAAGGAAGCAATTAGTATTATCTCGTTTACTAAAACTTCCAGAGCTTCCTTTGAATATAAATGCGAGTAGATCCGGCAACAATACAAAATATTAAACATTTCCCTCGGAAATGTACTTACCGACCATTTATTTAATCGAAACTTTGAATGAAATTGACCAAATTTGTTTATAGGTATTGGGAAAATCGAAGGCAAACTCGAATTTGCCGTTAATTTGAATAAAAATCTACAGGTGTCGATTAACAATTGTTTCAGAATGCAAATGAAATTTCTGTTCTACGTCTAGTTTTAGAAATTTTAAGTCATAATTCTTTAATTATCGAAACAGTCGGGCGTTTATAGCAATTAAAAATATTTGTACCGAATTCGCCACAAAGTGAGATTCCCTAGACAAAAGGGGTAAACGCTCCGTCTTTATGAGTGTTCACAAAGGAGATCGGATACGATCCGTAGGACAGGTATGATAACAAGGGGATGGTATTAAATTGCGCCTACTCCATTTAATTCGCCAGTGACGATTATTATTTTCGAGAGAGACATTACCATGCGGGTATCGTAACAAAATAAAACGTGAAATGGTCTCTGGAAAACGGATAATTGAATTTGGAATTAAGTCGCGGTCGTGCGTGTGAAGGTAGCAATTTAATTTGTATTATTACACCGTCTGGAACAATAAAGATTCGATGAGGGGAAAAGGAAGGTGGGTGGCCTCTCCTTCGTTTTCTGCTTATTAAAAACTTCGATGCACAGAAAAAGATGGCAAGTGTATGAGATTTATATTAAATTCTTCTAACATGAATGAAATGAAATTTTAACAATTCCATGTAGGGAAGCTTTACATAGAAAAACGTCTATCTGTCATACATACCCTTAGATTAAAACAAAAAGGGTAGATACGGCACTAGCCTCACAAAAGTGATCCGCATGAATTGTGGTCCACGACCCTAATCGCTTTAGTCACAACTTGACATGCAAACGACGTACATGTGAACACCAAAAAGAAATATTGCTAATATTTTGTGTTTATATGATAAAATAATGCCTAAGTGTGTTTTTAAAAAGTGCTCAAATTGCTCAAGAACTAAAAATAAAACCCACGGCATCACTTTTCATTCGAAGTACTATAAAATATAGTTTTTCATAAAAATTGCTGTTAGTTTTGAATCTTATTCGGTAATGACGTCGAGTACTGATCGCGTGATTGGTCGGTAGTACAGTGACGCGGATCTCGCCGTCTCGTTCGTGCTGTTTCGTTCGGGTCGGTAATGCAGTGACGCGGATCTCGCCGTCCCGTTCGCGCTGCCGTGGGATCAGTTTTTGTTTGATGCAGGTATGAGTGTACCGTATCTACCCTTTTTGTTTTAATCTAATTACATACCCAAGTAATAATCAAATTCAAAAGGTATTCTTCAACAATTGGATATATATGAATTTTACCATAATGATATGATAAAAATATGAACTTATGTTTTTATTTATTATTTTTATAGATTATTTTCATTTCTCTTTAATTTTCTAACTGAAGGAAAAAAATCTATCGCATATTCGGCAGTAATTCTTTTAATTAAAAAGAATTAAGACAACTAATAAACTAAAAGTAAAATAAAACCCACTGATCTTATCTTTCGCCCAAGAAAAGAATGCCATTTTATATTTCCTTACTTAGGTAGGCATATTGTGTCAAACGTTCAAGGTAATCTGCATTCAAGATGCAACCTGAAACAACACGTGTTATGTACCAATTCTTCGTGGCTGTTATATAAATTTGGTTTATTTATTCTAGGCACAAGCACGTATGAAAGTTGAAGCTATATCTGCTACGTTTCCTATTAGGAATGCGATATGTAAAAGACTTTAAAGTGTTTTTTTAAAGCCTAAAACTAGACGGTTGGTATTTATACCAACATTCAGTAAAACGATTCATGCGGATCACTTTTGTGAGGCTAGTGCCGTATCTACCCTTTTTGTTTTAATCTAAGGGTATGTATGACAGATAGACGTTTTTCTATGTAAAGCTTCCCTACATGGAATTGTTAAAATTTCATTTCATTCATGTTAGAAGAATTTAATATAAATCTCATGCCATCTTTTTCTGTGCATCGAAGTTTTTAATAAGCAGAAAACGAAGGAGAGGCCACCCACCTTCCTTTTCCCCTCATCGAATCTTTATTGTTCCAGACGGTGTAATAATACAAATTAAATTGCTACCTTCACACGCACGACCGCGACTTAATTCCAAATTCAATTATCCGTTTTCCAGAGACCATTTCACGTTTTATTTTGTTACGATACCCGCATGGTAATGTCTCTCTCGAAAATAATAATCGTCACTGGCGAATTAAATGGAGTAGGCGCAATTTAATACCATCCCCTTGTTATCATACCTGTCCTATGGATCGTATCCGATCTCCTTTGTGAACACTCATAAAGACGGAGCGTTTACCCCTTTTGTCTAGGGAATCTCAGTTTGTGACGAATTCGGTACAAATATTTTCAATTGCTATAAACGCCCGACTGTTTCGATAATTAAAGAATTATGACTTAAAATTTCTAAAACTAGATGTAGAACAGAAATTTCATTTGCATTCTGAAATAATTGTTAATCGACACCTGTAGATTTTTATTCAAATTAACGACAAAATCGAGTTTGCCTTCGATTTTCCCAATACCTACCTATAAACAAATTTGGTGAATTTCATTTAATGTTTCCATTAAATAAATGGTGGGTAAGTACATTTCCGAGGGAAATGTTTAATATTTTGTATTGTTGCCGGATCTACTCGCATTTATATTCAAAGGAAGCTCTGGAAGTTTTAGTAAACGAGATAATACTAATTGCTTCCTTACAGCTGCATCTAAATCACGTAGTTGGAAATTATTCTTAAGATCGTTAAGCCGGAGATCAGTCTCTTTTGACAAGAATACGTGACCCTAAACACAGTAATGACTTAATGAAATAAAGTTTACCATGATCATGATGACTTTTATGAGAGTTAAATTTGTAAAAAACCTCTTAATAATAATGTTGTACTAAGAAATGTAACTAATGATATTATACTAGCTGGTAACCGTCAGCTTAACCTTTATAGCCGCCCACCACTGTTCACTTAAAAACCGGCTAAGTGCGTGTCGTGCCACGCGCAGTGTAGGGTTCCGTAGTTGCCTGTAGTTACCACAACATATTTGAGCAAGAATCTTTATTTTCTATATCGGAAATAAGAAAAACCAATGAATATGAATCTATGTATCTCGACCGAAATCCTCATGGATACCCTACAGCCAAGGCTACAAGGTTATGTCAGACTCTTACTGACTAAAACACCCGCAGGTCGGGGGGCGGAGGGCCAATCAAAAAAAAATTTGCACTATAAAGTTCAATGTTTCGCAAACGGATCACTAAATCGAAAAATATTCTTAGGAACCCCGAAATAATTTTAAAGGCCTAATTAAACGATGTCCCATACGATGGGGTAGATGATAAAAATAATATCCCCAGGTTACATTTAGGGGAGGAGCTACCCTAAATTTTTTTTTCAACATTTTGTTCTGCCATTTTGTTAGCGGGTTCGACATAAATATCTCCACAAAATTACAGTTACCCTAGTACTAATAGTCTCCAAGCAAAACCGGGGACGGACAGGCGGACATGACGAAACTATAAGGGTTCCTTTTTAGGAATACGGGACCCTAAAAAAGACCTGAAATAAGTAACAACACAACGCTAGGGTATTTTATTGGATAGGTATAGAAATTGAAGTTTGTTTTTCCTTTGTTAGAGTGCGGAACAAGTGACTGGGTGGTGTCGATCGCCGGCTGACACGAGACGTGGGAGCCCCACAGGTAGCGTGGTGAGCGGGGCGGCTGGCACGCCTTCGAGGCACCTGTCTGATGTTGACAAACTCAAGAAAGTGCTTCTTGAACTTGTGGACACTGAACGCGCTTACGTCAAGGTAACACGCTAGACACTTGAGGCATACCAAGGCTGTGGTCTTTGTCTTTTTTTATTTTAGAACTTGTGTTTTCAGCGTTTGGGGATTACCTATTTAATTTTTAAAGCTTCACGTTTGATAAGATTAGAATGTAATGTAAACATAATAAACAATACTGATCTTAACAATTTAGGAAAAAGCAGTGAAAGGACATTTTAAATAAATTACTCTCTAAAAAATTATGTTAGGCTCTACTTTTAAACAAAGATAAACCACGTAGTATTCACAATGAGGACATAATTAAGCTGTTAATACTTTGGCAACTTTCCTCGAAAATGTGATAAGTCAACTGCTTACCAGTAAAATAAATGCTAATACTTTTGAAGCTTTCGCTTCAGTGAATGAGTTTAAGTACTCATATTGTAGCCATTATGTGTATATTGCTAATATGACAGCGTGGAATATACATCCATATTTGCTCACTCTACGTTCACTGCAAACGTTGCGTAAGGAGTGATAAAAACAAAGAAATTCCAATCAATAGGTTTAATTATTACTAAAGGTAATTTTTTAATCTTGCTCTATTTATTCATGAAACTTTCATCATTATTTCCTCAATCATAATATTTACTTTATTACTTTGCAATTTCGAACCAAAACGGTAGACGGCAGGCAGAAGAAATTTTTAAATTTAATAAGTCTCTCTCATTTAAAAACAAATTTTATAACAGGTTTTTTTTTTATATTGATAGGATTTGCTTGGAATTAAAAAATAATGCTACCTTTCCGCCCGCGGCTACGCCAGCATGGACTCGATTATTCTTTGATTCCCACGTTTTCTTCTTCTGGGTAATCAGAAGCCCAATGAGCAACTCTTATATTTATGACGTTAAAAATAATGACTCCTATTCAAATTTTCAGCCCCAACTTCACCTTACAAAATGTGATGTTTTTTCTTTTTATAATACCAAAATTGTTCAACTAGAACATATTTAATTGTTAACAATAAGCAAATTTGCAACTTGACCCACTCAATTCATTCCATTTAGGGGAGAAGCTTCATAAAAATCTTTCTGCTTGTTCTATTCTTAATCTGCGTGTCAAATTTCATCTTCATAGGTCAAGTAGTTTCCGGGTTTTCGTGATAGTTAATTGAAAGAGTTATCTCCCGCGTTAATAGTTTCATAACTCCATAAATCGATTCTTCGTAACATCACACAAATAGTGTTGAACGAATCAAAGTAATTCTCAATAACTTAAGTAATTCATCACCACATTCTCACTCGGAAACATTGGGGTGAATAAATTGATGGACTTCGGACTTCAAATAAATATTCATTGAGCCGAAAAGTTCTGATGGATTTATAAAACGTATTTAAAACTTCCTGAAACCCAAGTAATGCCGACCGCACCTGCACAGCAGCTCTGCTGTTAGGATAAATTTTAGGAGTAGAATATTCATAAATTTCATAAATTTCTGAAATGGGTTTAACAAACCATAGCAGCTAAGCAGTCTTTTAACAAAGATCTCTTTTACAGCACCTGAACAACTTATTAGAGAACTACTTAGAGCCATTGAAAAAGGAAACTTTTTTATCAAACGCCGAAATCAACGCTCTCTTTGGAAATATACAAGAGATAGTAACGTTCCAAAGGCAGTTCTTGCAAAACTTAGAGGAAGCGCTCGAGGCTGAACCAAACTTCCACCACTTTGAATCATCTAGTCAGTTTAAGGTAAGTTTAACCTTAAACGTTAGTTGACAGTTCAATCTATCCATTAATTATATACTTCAATGGCACTGGTCACACTGATTACATTTTCAGGATGTCTTGTTCGCCGTCGGCAATGCTTTTCTTTATTACGTCAACCACTTCAAATTGTACAGTTCTTTCTGCGCAAGCCATAGCAAAGCTCAAAAAGTTTTACATCCAAGTAAGTGTCTCCTGAATTATTGTCTCAGAATCATGTACGAATAGAACCTATTTACGTGCCCTTACTTTTCAACAGATGAAGGTAATCAAGCTCTGCAAGAGTTCTTATCCGCAAGAAATCCGAAGCAACAACATTCATCAACTTTGGAGTCTTACTTAATAAAACCAATTCAACGGATATTAAAGTACCCGTTGCTTCTTCAACAATTGAGAAATTTGACTGAAAACAATTCCGAAGAACAGAACCATTTAATTGGTGAGTCACGTAATTCCACAGATCGATGTTATAACTTCACAGCGGCGTCTAAGCTTTTGATTCTTGTTAGCTTCAACCGTATAAATTTTATTCCAGATGCTCTTAAAGGAATGGAAAAAGTTGCTGAACATATAAATGAAATGCAACGAATACATGAAGAATATGGTGCTATATTTGATCATTTGTTTAGGCAACACCAAAAATCATGCAAACAGCCTATAGATCTAAGTCCTGGTAATTAAAATATCTTATAACTAGATAGATATATACTTTGATATCAAAATATATTTCTTTAAGTTCTTCAATACTCATGTTATCTTTCAGGTGATTTGTTGTACTATGGAGGTGTAGAATGGTTAAATATTTCCGACTTTTTAGGAAAAATTAAAAAAGGTTTGGAATTGCATGCTATGTGCTTCGTTTTTAAATCAGCTGTTGTCTTCCTTTGCAAAGAAAGACTGAGACAAAAGAAAAAGTTAATGGTAAGTGTTTGTGTACTTGCGCCTATCTTAACCAGATCTTAAAATTCATATCATAACAACACTTTTCTTCTCAATAAGCCAAGTATACTGCGTCGTTATTAAATTGTATTTTACTTTGCAATAACGAGTTTAAGTTAGTAAGTTATTGCTGTCACCTAGGTTAAAAAACCACTAAGAAATAAATAAATATTTCCAACACTCACACCAATTAGCCTAGCCCCAAAGTAAGCACTGTAAGGCTTGTGTTATGGGATACTAGGGTAACGGATAGAATACATATACTGTACATATATAAGTATATTTTTATTTAGAAATACATATGAAACATCCATGACTGAAGTACAAATGCTCGTATTCATCACACAAACATCTGCCCCCACCGTGATTCGAACCCGGGACCTCTCGAGTCGGCGACACCATGAAACCCGGCGTACAAACCACTCGACCAAGGAATAGAATTAATTCGGTACATTTTCATCATTAGTCTGCGCATTATTTTTATATAACTAAGTGTAATAATAAAACTAATCATAATCAATAACATTTGTTATTAACAAGGGCGTGTCTTCAAAGAACAACTCTAACGAGGTGGAGATAATCCGATATCAAGTTCTTATTCCTGTAACGGAAGTACAAGTACGTGCTTCCTCAGCTAAAGATATGGACAGCCACTTCCTGTGGGAGCTAATACATCTGCGAAGCCAGTTACAACGACGCTCTGAAAAGGTCTACGTGTTGTCTAATAGGTAAGATTGTGAGCGATTGGTAGTTTAATAGTTTTTATTTAGAGGTAAACGGAAAATTACAAACTTTTAAATTTCCAGTTACAAACTTATCCAAAAACTGAGATAAAATTGTCTTTTACAAAATGTCATCTTTTTTGTAAATAAATGTTTAGCCTCTTTTTAAAAATAGGTTGACAGGTTATAACCAGTTTTAATTTTAAAATAAGAACTTAATGGACATGTAGCAGTTATAATAATATCAAATATTAATAAAGCAATTCAACGTGCCAAAGAATACCTCTCCCTAAATACTGGGAGAGTTATATTAAATACGTGCAAAATTATTAAATTGAAGTAAAACTGTGTTTCCGAAACATCAGGTACTACTATGCCAATGGAATAGTAGTTTACACAAACACATGTATCTGTGCCGCAGCAGTGGCTGATGATGATACCACTTTTAATCCTAAAACCACATCGTACTGAATAGAATTATAAATTGTCTAGAAAAAAAGAATCAAAGAATTTATCAGAGATAATTTGAGGTGATTTGTAACAACTAATTAAACACAAAAGAGGCCGTAGCATGATACGATACAAAACAACAACGCCTCGCAGTTACTTTGCTAAATAAACCTACCAGGACAATGGCAGGCCGTGCTGAGTTTTGCGGTACTTTGTTACATTTATAATAAGTCACCTGTTTTATTTTAATCTCAAAACACCGAAGAAAATGTTTTTGTTATTGTTATTTTAACTAGATTGTTTTATTGACAGTAAAAATATAATGAACTTTACTATTAACTTGTCTGTCTCCTTCGAGAGTATATTAAAACAGTGCATCTACGAACGTAGCAACCTATTAATAAAATTATTCTCACGGGAATTTTTATTTTATTGGACAGATTACATTACTGTTACTTTAGTAATTCTGAGGTCCACTTGTAGCAATTTTACTAAATCTCAATTCATCTAAAACTAAATTTAACTCATAGAAAGACATGAAAACCACAATTTTAAATCTTTCTATGAGCTCATAGAAAAAATACTTCATTGTATGAGCTGAAACTAGTGTTTAAGCTAAATTGATATATAGCAAAGGGACTGCAAGTGAACCAGGAATATCTCTAGTTGATTCTAATCTTTTCCAAACCGCTTATGTTATACAGTTAACAGATTTTATACAATTTCAAAGTAATATTATATTTCTTTTGAGGAATTACATGACTCTTTTCGTTTAGTAAGATTTGTGTAAGCACGCTGATTTACATTGAAACACTTGTCCTAAACAGTACGGCGGACTTCCGGAACGCATTCTTGAAGACGATCCGGCAGATAATCCGGGAGTCTGTTCGCAATATGGCTTTGCCTACCACCCGGCCCGCGCCGCCGCCGCCCCGCGCTCCACATACCCTCGAGCGAGATCGCGATAGGCCGAAACATCAGGTACTACTTCATAACTATAGTCATAAAATTTATTGCTTTATGTTGCTAACAAAGTTATATCTAATATATATAAAATTCTCGTGTCACGGTGTGCGTAATTGAACTACTCCGGAAGGACTCGACCGATTTTTGTGAATTTTTATATGCATATTCAGTAGATGTGAGAATCGGACAACATCTATTTTTCATCCCCCTAAATGATAGTCCACCCTTAAATATTTTTTTTTACAAATTATTTTGTTTTATTTTTTTATGGTACATCATATAAAAATAAATACAACCCTAAATTTTCACCCTTTTACTACCCATATTTTTAAGGCGATACGAAGAAGGGTAAAAATTTTGGATTGTATGTAGTTTTTGTATGATGTATCATAAAAAAAAACAAAAAAAAATGACAAAATTAAATTAAGGGACCACCCTTAACATTTAGTGGGATGTAAACTAGATGTTGTCCGATTCTCAGACCTACTGGATATGCATATAAAATTTCACGAAAATCGGTCGAGCCGTGTCGGAGTAGTTCAATTACGCACACCGTGACACGAGAATTTTATATATTAGAGATATATAGGGGGCATCCGAGCTGACGGCTCATCTGATAGTTAGTGATAACCATCAGCCATGAACACCTGAAATACCAAGAATATCACAAATACGATGAAGGCTTTTAAGGAAGGAGTACGCTCATTTTTTAACGTTTCCAGTTTGTATTGGTCCCGAAATGCAGCTGGTTTTTGACAAAATCGCAATATTTTTACATGGTTAAATAAAACTAGTTTTTACGGGTTAATGCACGAAACTTTATTTATTTATTTACGTTTCGCAGCCTTTTCAGGTCTGCATCGTCAGAATAATGATTTTTTATTTAAAATAAATATAGAATCATATCATAAATAATAAATAAAAAATCATTATTCTGACGATGCAGACCTGAAAAGGCTGCGAAACGTCTATAAATAAATAAAGTTTCGTGCATTAACCCGTAAAAACTAGTTTTATTTAATGAGTGATGTGCGTGAAAACCTAAGAAACAAAAATGGTTCTTCGATCTAATATAAGCTCGCAAACATGAGCCCTTCAATAGCATTGCAAATTATACTAGAAGTAGTAGTAGTAAGTTATTGTTATAAAGTTAAAGTAATTGCAGTGAGAATTTAATGACATAAAATCATATAACTAGAAAAAATTCTACGCGGACCAGGCAGCAGACGAGATTTTTCTAGTTATATTTTCTTTAGATTTAAACATCAAGCAGTTACATACACGTTACACGTTACATGCTTATAAAAAAAAATTGTAAACATAAGATCAGTTTAAGTACTTCACATTTTCACAATAAGTTCACATCACATTTGAAATCTGATGATGTATACCCTGATGCTCCGCAACCTCGCAAGTGGTGTATGGCATAATAATGTTCTAGTTATTCCGCAACATTATTAGCAAGATTAGTAGCTCATCTAATCATGACCTATATACTCTTGTAATACCATTAATCTATTTCTAGTTGGCAAAAAAATATGTGAAATACAACATCTTAACATTAGGGAAATGCAACTCTTCAAAGTACTACTTACTTATTAGAGAGTATCATAACGTGTTATTCTATTGAGTTTCTCAGTTACAGTGAACTTAAAGCTTCATCGGTTTCCTCTGTTAATATAATAATTTTTATCCCTTCTCTAGTGTTCTGAATAGTTTAGCCGTTATCTTATTACACAAAATAATTTCAGGTAACTGTAATGCAAGGATCCCAAACCCTTGGCAAGACAAAGAAACCGAAAACTTCCGGTCAACGATTGTCAGCGGGTAACATCGAGGTAAGCAATAAATATTTAATATCTGCACGATTAGTAAAAAAATGTATTCAGTTGCTTTCATTACATCAAAGCGATTCACCGGCCTATAAATTTCCAGAAGCGAATATATTTTTATAAAAACGTCTGTTTTCCAGGTCGGTGATTTATCTAGAGAAAACTCGCAGGACGCCGATGAACCACCTCAACCTTTAGCTAATGAAGAACCGGCCTTCAGGCATAGAAGTAAAACACTGGGCGACAGCTCTGGTAAAACAACATCCTATGAAATATCACTAACAATTAGAAATATTCAGAGCACTGGATTAATTTGTAACACATAAACGTAATTTCAGTAATCTATCTATCAAACAATGTTTCCATCAACCATCATTATAATCATTCCCCAAAATCCAACCTCATAGCTTGTGCACTAATTCGAAAGTATACGTTTACATATTATGTGATGGTAACGCATGTTGTGATCACCGTCTGGAATGTAACACTTTCTATCAGTTAACCCAAAAACACAGGAATTGCAATAAAAAGTAAATTAGATATAAAAATAATTTACTTCTTATCTTCAGCCAAACTATTATTAGATTTTCGAAACGATAAACAAAAGAACTTGAAAAAATGTGCTTATTTTTCAAACCTCTTATTACAATTAGAACAAGGCCCACTTGTACCAAATTTGCTTTTCCTCGATTCAACTAAAACTAGCTTTAACCCATAGGCACATGTCAAAACGTTAATATGAATTTGATATTATTGTATTGGCTAAATCTAATTTTAGTTAAATTGAGATTTAGCAAAATTAGCAGGTGGACCTAAAGGTATGGTTGCAATTGGTCCTGCTCATAGTACGCATAGAATAAAAGTGTTACACTCGACACGGTTCACCCTAACCCGATCCGATACTAACTGCGTGCGTGGTGCGCGACGCAGAGAGCAGCGTGAAGCGCGCGCCGCCGCCGCCGCCGCCGGACACTGACAAGTCAGAGCCCTCCAAGTCCGAGGGCGAGGACGAGCCCCCGCCGCCGCCCGCCAAGCGAGGGTTAGGCCGCACTCCCAACCACCTCACGCTAAGGTACAACATATGTATGGGTTGCCACCTAACACACCTACACCGTGATTCATACCACCTACTACTACTCCTCACATTTCGTTTTACTAAATATTTATTAAGTAGGTTTGCTTGTCTTACTCATACATATGTCACTATCTACGTCGAGTAAACGCTTCGGCTTAGCGCAGACGATGGAATTGAAACTGTTCTAGTATATCTATGAATTTGTACAATTCTTTTGTACTCGAAATAAATTCAGAGTCTTAAATTGATAATCCACCATACCATAGTTGTTCAAAGATTTGATCTCCTCCTGTCGGCACAATTCATGCATGTAGTCGAAGGATTAATATTTTATTTAGATATGGATAAAAACAAGAGAAATCATAAATTATGTTCTCAACGCACATCTCCTATTAAGTAATGATTCGACTCAAAACTCGTCTGCGTTAGGTGTGAATACTTAACTCAATTGTTTTGTTTTCTTTTACTAAAGCACGACGTCGACGCTAAGCGCTGGCAGTACAGGGAGCCAAGCTCGACTTATTCAATCTTCGCACCAACCGACGCAGTATCAGCCAACAATGGTCAAGGAACTAGGTAAGCAAGAATGTCAGTCGTTAAAATCATCGCCAGAAAAAAAGACCTCCACCACCCCGGAGAAAAGAATCAAGGTGATACGTTCCTGTAGTAGCAGCAGTATCAACAGAGATAAGTCTCCCAACAGGTCCATTGACCGCACGAGCCCAGACTGCGATCGCGTAAGCAAAGTCATCGTTTGTAAATCTCCTAACAAATCCAGCTTGAAACAAATGAAGACAATTTATCGTTCACCAAGAGGTAGCATTGATCAATCGAAATCACCGCGAGGGTCTATAGATAAATCAAGATCTCCACAACAAAGCTTCGATAGCTCTAGATCCCCACGGGGTAGCATCATGAAATCACGCGAGAGTAGCGTTGACAGAGCTAAATCGCCTAGACCCGGTCCTAAGAAAGGAATAATGCGGACACCTCAAGCTAGCATTGATAGATCGCCTTGTAAATCACCGAATGTAAGCCGTCGTTCTTCGAAATCTGGCGGGGAAAAATTAGCCAGACTCGGCACAAACTCACTTGATAGGATTACACACTACTCTCAACTGGCAAAAGCAGAGGACAAAGCTATCAAAATGGGCATCGTTGTATCCAAGTCCACCGAGTCCATCGCTAAATCCATTGAGCATCCTACTTGCGTTCAGTGCTACCTTTCTGGGAAGCGTCAAAGCAAAAGTTCCTAGCATAAGGGGAAGGGCAAGTCGCCCAAATCTAGACGAAAGTCTTTGACTTCGCAAGCTATGAGAAACACATCGTCTGATCGGAGCAGCATTGAAACTCTAGATGATGTACCTATCAATGATCGCGGTCTTTGCTCTGTAAGACACTCCGATAAAAGCGAATACGATCAAATACATGTTTAAACAAACTAAGTTAATTATAATTATACTACAAAAAAATCCACGCGGACCAGGCAGCAGGCGGGACTCCAACCCGCACCCTTCGCTATCCGGGTGAATGCACAAACCATTATGCTACCGCGGCACTCATGGCCGCGTCGAATTTTCTCTAGCCTTAGACCGCGCAATCTCTTCGCATTGTGGATTTTTTTCTAGTAAAATATCCTTTAGATTTAATCATCTAGCAGTTAAATGCTTAAAGAATAAATAATATAACTAAGTTAATTATATTTCATTTTTTACAAATAATGATTGAACATTTAATAACAATAACACCAGTGATCGTGTGTCTTCGAAATGATTCGTTAAATTTTATTGTCAGCATGAAAGGAAGTATTGAAGTAAGAATCATCATCATGATAACGATTTATGTAAGACAATTGCCTAAAAACTGTCCTACGCTCAATGGAATTGATTAGTAATGAAACATCAGTAATAGATGGAATTATTTAGTCAAATCTGAATATTCGGTTATGTACATTTTAAATAAGTTTCTTATTATTTATAAATATACATGTGATTCATTACTTAAAATATAATTTATTATTATTTTCTCAACAAAATTAATGAAGGATTCATAATACGTTCGATTTGGAAATGCGAGTTGTGTACTGACACGATCGTTCAAATGCCAGTATACGTAAAATTAAATTTAAACCATTTTTGAATAACGGAATCATGAATCCAGCATACTATAAGTAGGATATTGTATGTAGAATTACATAATCCCAAGAACTTAGAAATATGATGACATAATAAACGAAGTAATAACAACCATAATTATGTATTAAATTAATAAAATATATTCTAGATAATCCAAGTGCTAAGTGTTACATAATAATGGCTGTGGAATTGTACTGATGTTAACCCTTGAACACTTTCATATTAGTGTCTTTCTTGTTCATTTAATTATCGACTGTTATTATACATCCCTATAGTATAATGTAATTAATTATATTACGTACGTAGATGGCCATGGATTTGTACCATTAAGTCTTCCATTTCAAAATACCTATAATTATTAATGATACTATACGTATATTTATTTTTTGCATATTATATTCTTCAGTCTGCTCAATTTAGGATTAAGTTGTATCTGTTTACTAATCTCGATGATTTAAAACCTGAAGTATACTTTATATTATTAACTATTCTATATTAAGACATGTTTATTGCTTAGCATTGGGATTACATGTAAAATATGCTTTATTCATTGTTGAAAACCGATCAAGTAATTTTCAATGTTAGCTGTCATTATAAGCGGAGGAGAATTTTGTGTATGCAATCTCATAAGATATTTTGGAATGTATGCCCGTTGCAGTGTATAAGCTGCAACGAGAAAGTTATAGTATAATAAATATCATTAATAAAAATAGAGAATCAATTTATGCATCAAGCTATAACATAGTTATAAAAATATACTCACCACGCGGTTTCGGATAGGCTACAAGATACAATATAATAATAGGGTATTGTAATAAACTCATTAAATAAACTCGTATTTAATTAATCACGATTCTACATTACTGATACAATCTGACTATTAAACTGAACAATATTAGACAACTAAAGAAACAAACATGACAAAAAAAAACTCTTCTGCAAAGACAGTTGCTTTAATATAAAAAATTCAGTGTTAAATCGTGGTTAGTAAAGTGCGACAAAATATTGTCTATTTAGATTAAAGTAGTATGATCTTTTTGCTCGCGTAGTGCTTCAATTAGTTATGCACAAATTATCTTGGGACTTAGTGGACGCACTAACTCTGCCTCCGATTGCGAAGGATGGATAATGACACCAAATAAAGGAACATACTCCGAAAATATTGACGAAATTCGATATAATATAATCGCATGCGATATCGTATTAGATGACCTGACAAAAATATATTATCTTCAATTTATTATGGTCAAAGAAGCATACTTTTTAGTTACAGGTTAGCAACGTTGGTTAAAATTATTTAACATACAATATTTTTATCATAATATTATAAACAAACAGATATTATGCCAAAAGGTATCTCAAAATTTACTAGAAATGCTGAAATTGATACTGATGCCACTTATTTATTACGTTTTGAATATTAAAAAGTTGAGACTTACTATAGCTGACCAAAATAGCTTTATCAAAAAGAAGCAGCTACTGGTTGTTTATAGAATGGCAAATAGATTAAGGAAGCAATAAAACAGTGTACACTGTTTAACAGACAAGAAATTATGTTTCATAATTATCGTTGAAACATTGATTATTTTGTTACATAATGCTGTTGAGGCTACACTACAGACATCGAAGGCAAATAAAGTTGGAGCTTTTTTCTGCAAACATATATTCTTAAAATAATTATAAAAAATCAATCAAAATAAAATAAAAACTGTGAAAAGAAAGCAGTAAAAAGAAAGTACAGTGTAATACGACAGACGCTAAAATGAGTTTCGCTACTATTTTTGGAGTACGCCTACGGTTGTCTACGCACGTAGTTGCTAGTCTGTAGCATAGGTCGAAAATACAGTAAGTGGGTACCGAATCCGCCGCACTTTAGCAAGAGCGCTCCTCTTGAATGTTCGATGACGACGTTGGCCGGGAACCACGCCGGCGCCGGCGTCACACACCCCGCCCTCCTCGCTCGCCTGCTTGGGCGCCGGACACACATTGGGGTTGCCAACACTACTTGGAAATGTAACCCACATTACCTTCAATTGAAAATCACATTTTATAGCAGGCGGGGTAACTACTACTTACTACATTTTCCATTCAATTTCTATGTTCTTCTATATATTTCTTGAGTGATTCGAATGAAAGTTGGCAACCCTACCCACAACGCTCATCAAACATTCGACTCTTTGCTCGCGCGCCCGCGATGTCCTGGCGATCGGTAAACTGCTAGCAGCCACCATCTAAATTGTACCGCGCGACTTTTACGGTACTAAAGAGTTCGGTGTTTGGTGTGTTGTAGGATCGCCGGTGTGGAAACCGCGCGAGATGGTGAGCGAGGGGGGCGCGGTGGCGACGCCCTCCGCACCCACCACGCTGCCCCGCAGCCAGCGGCCCGCGCCCCGCGCGCACCTCTCCGCCAGCCGCAAATCTCTCGCGCCCGACCACCGCCACTAGGGCGCCGACCACCCTCACTAGGCCGGCGCTAGGCGCCCGCGCCACACACACGGACTGATAACTCAAAAACTATATTGATACACACCCCGGCAAACTTCTTGAGCATTAACCATACACAACGAAGCTCACGCAGTAGAAATTTTATATCATAAAGCGTCTACTGCGCAAGTTTGTTTGTCTGGTGCTTAGCTCAAAAAGTTTGCCGCTACCTATACACGACAATTTCAATTAAAGGTTTGATGTCATAACGATTCATTTTGTTGACCGTTTTTTATTTTTCATATTAACAATGTTTTATATTAGCTTTACAGTTTTTCGTAGACTACTCCCTTACCTGAGTGTAACTTACTCTCCTTGATTGACCAAGGACATAACTATGATAAAAGTATACAACGATAAATCTGCTGTACCAAATGAAACGGTATGACAGCACACCACAAAATCGGTTGTTTGTATACCGGTGAAAGACCCTGCCACTGAACGACTAAACTATCAAGCTCAAATATCCTCCCAAAGCACACGAGTTTAATATGTAATTATATTAATAACCTTAACATTGTTAGAGAAAATAGTTTTCATTACGAACACTACTATAGCACTACCAAATAATGATAAAGAGCCGGGATTCTCTCGTCTTCTTTATGAATATATTAGTGAGAAAGGCTACCATAAATGGTCAGGTTCTTCACTTGCAAAGCTGGTAACATTGTATACATGAGTGAATGTTGTCATACCTGTACTGTATCTTTATTACTGAAATCTAATGAAATTCATGTGCCACGTTCCGAACTGCACTCTGTTCTTCCAAATCACTGTAATCTAACACAGTCGGCATTTTGTATAATGTAAACTAAAAGGTATTAATATTTTATTAAACGACATTGGACCTGGGACTGCAATACTTTTGTAGGTCCATTGTGAAAACATCATATAAGTACCTACATGACAATATCAATAGCGAATGGATATTAATATAGTCGTTTCAGTTGTAGGTAATAAAGATAATGAGACTTCAAAATATATCACTGAAAAAGGCATTTCTGTCCCATTTTACCTCTACCATCGTCGTGCACTACCTACTTAGTTCGCACTTATCTATGCTAAAGACGTGAATAGATTTGTAAGAAAATAAGATTTAATGCCACTATAATAAATTTAAATGCTCACTCAAAATTACCTAATCATATTATTCACAAATACATAATTACAGATAGTGTGACTACACAGACGTAAAAAGAAATCAAGGGATCTATTACGACTTTAGTATTAGATAAACCCATTTTATTTTGTTTGAATTAGATGAATTATAAAACTCGACGATTAGGTAAATCATTACTCTATCTCCATAGAAAACGAATAGCAAAATCAGTGAGCCACTAAACCATTTTTAATAGATTTTCCAAATGGTTTCGTGATAGCTATCGTTTTGTTACACTTTATTGGTAAGCGCTCGATCTAACTCTTTCTATGTGCCAAATTAGGTACCCTCTACACCTGTGCTTGTTATCTCATCGACATATATACGGAATAAAAATATATCGTGAGAGTAGTTAGCTATAATGTACTTAAGTTTCATTTTGTCATGTTGGCAATGCAATACTCACTACCCTATAGTTCAAATGCACTCAACCTATGGACAAGTACTAGGTAGTTTTGATAATAATTTCTCTTCGTGATCAAATTCGAAAGTTCTATCATAGGCTAGGCGAATGATATAACATGTATCGTACACATTTTTTTTAATAAAATTATAGTATTGTCAAATTATGATCGTTTTACTTTGTAAAATAATATATAATTTAAGTGTCCAAGAACACGGTGTTTTTGTCGATTCATTATAAAGGGAGATCAATGAAATGCTGCTAAAGATTTCATACCATTATTATGTCTTGAGAGTTGAATAAGT